AAGGCAAAAAATATTTCATAACATTTATCGATGACTGCACAAGATATTATTATGTATATTTACTTAGAAGCCAAGATGAAGCCTTGAAAATGTTTAAACTCTACAAAACTGAAGTTCAAAATCAACTTGGTAAAACTATTAAAATGGTTAGAAGTGATAGGGGTAATGAATATGATGCACCTTTAAATGAATTTTGTGTACAACATGGCATTATTCATCAAACTACATCACCCTATTTTTCACAGCAAAATGGAATTGCTGAAAGAAATAATAGAACCCTTAAAGAAATTATGAATGCCATATTACTAAGTTTAGGCTTACCTTAGAACTTATAGAGGGAATCAATATTGTCTGCTAATTTTGTTCTTAACAAAATACCCCAAAAGAAAATTAACAGCATTCCTTATGAATTATGGAAAGTCGACCACCTTCCTACAAATATTGAAAAGTGTAGAGGTGTTTGGCAAAGACAGAAGTTCCTGTTCCGAAAATGACTAAGATAGGACAAAAAACAGTGATTTTTGTATTTATTGGTTATGCGCATAATAGTAATACATATCGGTTTCTGACTTATAAATCAGAAATACCTGACATACATGTGAACACTATTATAGAGTTAATGAATGTTGTTTTCTTTGAACATGTTTTTCCTTACAAGAAAGAACATAAATTAAGTTCACAGAAAAGAACTTATGATTGTACACAAAGTCAATAGACTAATGACAATCAAACGCAAGAGACTAATAGTCTCAACCAATAGGATTTAACTGATGATGAACCAAGACAAAGTAAGAGGGCGAAAATATCAAAATGTCCAGATTTTCTGACATACCTATTAGAAAATGAGCCTCAGAGTTTTAAGAAAGCAATGGCAGGTCCTGAAGCACCTTGTGGAAGAAGGCTATTAATAATGAAATTGAATACATTATGCAAAATCATACTTAGGAATTGGTGAATCTTCCATCCGGTTCTAAACCTCTTGGATATAAATGGATATTCAAGACAAAAATGAAAGCAGATGGTTTAATAGACAAGTATAAAGCAAGACTTGTGGTAAAATGTTACAGACAAAAGGAAGGTCTGGACTATTTTGACACATATTCCCCGGTGACAAGAATAACATCCGCATGCTTATTGCTATAACAGTGTTGTATAACTTAGAGATACATCAAATAGATGTTAAGACAGCTTTCTTAAACGGTGATCTAAATGAAGAGATCTAAATGGAGCAACCCGAAGAGGTTGTAGTGTCAGAGCAAGAAAAGAAAGTTTGTCGGCTTGTAAAATCTCTTTGTGGATTAAAACAAGCACCTAAGCAATGGCATGAGAAGCTTGATCATGCTATGCTTACTAATGAGTTTAAGATAAACAAATGTGACAAGCGCATCTATGTTAAAAACACTGACAAAGGTTATGTCATCGTTTGTCTTTATGTTGATAACATGCTTATCATTGGAAGTAGTCAAAACATGATCAAATCAACTAAGCAAATGCTGAACAAAAGAATTGATATGAAAAATATGATAGTCGCAGATATAATATTAGAAATGAAAATTACTAAAACATCTTATGGGTATACATTATCTCAATCTCATTATATTAAGAAAATTCTTGATAAATATATCAAGGATGATATGAATGTAGGAAGAACACTTGTAGATATAAATGTAGCAAGAACACCTGTAGACATCAGTTTTTATTTATCAAAAAGTAAAGGTGATGCGGTGTCTCAGCTAAAATACTCTCAAATCATTAGAAGCCTAATATACCTAATGAATTGCACGTGTCCTGATATAGCTTATACTGTCAGTAAATTGAGTAGGTACACCAGTAACACCGGAGAAAACCATTAGAAAGCGATTATTCGAGTTCTTAGATATCTAAGATTTACCCGTGATCATGGCTTAAACTTTACTCGATATCTAGCAGTACTCGAAGGCTATTGTGATGCAAGTTGGACATTAGATACTAAAGATTCAAAATCCATTAGTAGATATGTCTTTACTCTAGGAGGCACTGCTGTTTCTTGGAAATCTACGAAACAAACATGCATCGAACGATCTACAATGGAATCTGAGTTCATCGTTTTAGACAAAGCAGGAAAAGAAGCAGAATGGCTTCGCCACTTCTTAGAAAACATTCCAATGTGACCAAAACTTGTGCCAGCTATTTGCATTTATTGTAATAGTCAATCTGTAATAGGTAGGGCACAGAGTCATATGTATAATAGTAAGTCACGACAAATTCATCGTCAACGTAATATCGTAAGGCAATTGCTCTCGAATGGAATAATCTCACTAGATTATATGAAATCTAAAAAAAATATTAAGGATCCGTTAACAAAAGGTTTAACAAAAGAGCAAGTGTATAGTTCATCGAAGGGAATGGAATTAAAGCCTATTACATAAGAGTCATCATAATAGTAACCCTACTTAGATGACTAGAGATGCTAAGAACTAAGTTCAAAGAGACAACTAAGTTAAACTGGGGCCGATTCTATGAGAATAAAGAGGCTAATTCCTCTAGAAGCACTCATGAACAACCAAGAGTGCTCAAGGCCAAAATGAACACAACCGTAAGAGTGAAATCTATTGTCTTGGCTTACACAAAAAGTTGAACAATTCAAGGCACCGCGTCTATTGGTTAGCTAGTAAGTTCGATAGATTATTACTAGAAAAAGTTAAAAGCCGAAAACTACCTATCTTGATGCAAGATATTTTCGATTTATACTCTTTCGACAAATTCTGCATATTGTTGCGTTTCCGTTGCCATCAAATTCCATTCATATGGGGGATTGTAAGAAATGGTTTGAAAAATGGTTTGGGAAAAAACATATTTTTTTCAAACTAGGGTCTAATTTTTAGGTGGGATCCATGCGCCAAAGTTGGCGGGTCCATGCGGCAACGCGTTCTTTGCCGCATAACGATTCACGCCGTATATTTGGTTGCTTAAAATCATTATCGGGTGAATGGGAAATTAATACCAAAGTGAGTTCCATGAAAATGGTGTGTTTGGTGAAGTTTTCTTCAAGAATGAGTTAAGGTTTGTCCCACATTGCCTTGGTAGGAAAACTTGGTGTGGGTTTATAAGGCTTGGGTTTGGAACTTGAGATAGGCCCCAAGGGGCACTCAAGTTTTGTAGAGGGAGAGGTTATGGGCAAAATGAGCTAGACCCATTAGACCCAAAAGAAACACACACGTGCGGGCCACCGCCACCGCCCGTCCGGTGGATCGGGCAGACGGGCTGGGCTTGGGCGCGGGTGCGTGATGTGAGGTTGGGTTGAGCTTGTTTGGCCCAATACTAATTCTTTTTGAGCCAAAAACATTTGAATTTTTATTTTTTATTTTGGAAAATAAATTCTGACCGTTTGAATTCAAATTTCGATTGGAAAAAATTCAATTTTGGCTTGCACCTTTCTGTACAGATTTCATATCTGTACAGTTCAAACCCATATCTGTTCAAAATTTAAACCAAACAGGTTCCTACCTACTCAAACAGTACCGAAAAGGTAATATATCTGTTCAAGCAGGTTTGCTACCTGTTGAATTCATATCTGAAAAGTCATCATTGCACCTATAAGTAGACAAGTCCCTCATTTAGATTTTCACTCAATTTTCATCCTCAATTCTGCTATTGCTATCTGCATTTTGCTACATTATTTCTGTAATAAAGAGTGTAAATATAATATGAAGTGTGTTCATTGTGCGAATAGTTTGTAGTGCTGCTACTATTCGTTGTTGATCATTTTATCTTGGGAGATAGACGTCAATAATCTGAAAGCACTGAGGAGATGATGAATCTATCTTAAGGACACAATGTTAAACACTGCACTTGATCAAAATTTTATTTGATAAATTAGTAAGGTAAGTAATTAATTTACTTTTCTGTTTTATTAATTTTTTCTTTTTCAGATTCTGATTTTATTTTTGTAACAAAATAATAATTCATTGCTTTATTTTATTTTATATAATTTTCTAATTGTTTATAATCGAAGAGTCTCTCACTCTTCTTTAATTCTTTCTTTGAATACTTTCAAGATTTTCCAACACTTTCAACAATCAAGGTGAAACAAGGCAGCAAACTACAAGGTCAAATCCAAGGAGAAGACTCAACACAGGTAACAGCAGCAACACCTCCAACTATCATCAAATTTTAATCTTGTATATATAATATTAATCATTTCTGGTTGTGTTTTTTGTCCTAGATTCTGTTTCTTAGGTACAAAACAAAGCAAGTTGAATTGGCTGGATGCACTATTTAGACTACTGGGAACTTTTAGCTTATAGTATTGCACACAGCATGCTGCATTTCTGATTTTATGTCATATTACAACTTTGATTTTACTTTATACTATAGTTTAGGATGGTATGAGCTTTTTACATATGGTTCAAAACATATTTATGTATAAAGAATTTTGTTAAGTTGTTTCTAAATGAAAAGCTAACTCAGCCAACTTAGGAGCAATACAGAGCAAGCTATAGTGATTATCTGTTTTATATCTGAACAATGCTTTTTACCTAGTTTTCACCCATAAGACATTTAGATATTTTAATACAAGAAATCACAATGAGGGTGCACATCAGGATTAGCAAAGCTAGGTAGAATTGCATACTTTACGTTCAATTCATTGAAAACAAAGAATTAAAAGAGTAGTAAAGCTCCTGCAATGGGAGGCCCTTAAAGCACATAAAGATGACGATGCTAAAAAATTATACTCACCCCTCAATGTAATCCGACTGGAGAGGATCAAGATATGTATCCCATTTGTTTCCAATGACCTAAAAAAAAAAAACAAGTTCAAAAAAAATTAGATTAGATCCACATACACAACATATTCGCCATATTTCAGATCTTCTACTCTGCCTTGCTTCAAGGCAGCCCATTTATTATTCTCCCTAAAACTTTTCTCTCTTTTCCTCTAAAAGCTGGAGTTCTATCTTTCCATCTTAACGCTTAGATGGAGTTCATTGTACTATTGTGCCAAATATAATTCAAGAGCTCTCTCTCTCTCTCTCCTTTCTCTCTTCACTCGCAAAGCTTCTTGTTTTTCGGAAGATCGCTCGTACTCTACGATCCGATATCAAAAAAAGCAATCGTTTTTCCCTTAAGAAATGGCGCTGATCTTGCATGCAGGGAAAACAAACAAAAATGCTTTCAAGACACTCATTGCTGCAGAGTACAGTGGTGTCCAAGTTGAACTTGCCCAGAATTTTGAGATGGGTGTGTCAAATAAAACCCCAGAGTTTATTAAGATGAACCCTATTGGGAAGGTTCCTGTGCTGGAAACTCCTGATGGGCCCATCTTTGAGAGCAATGCCATAGCACGATATGTTGCTCGCTTGAAGTCTGACAATCCTCTTTGTGGCTCTTCGTTAACAGAATGTGCCCATGTTGAGCAGTGGATTGACTTTGCATCACTGGAGGTTGACGCCAATATTTTGAACTGGTTTAGACCAAGAATGGGACACACTGTTTACCTTCCTCCAGCTGAGGAAGCTGCTATTTCTGCATTGAAGAGAGGTCTTGGTGCTTTGAATACATATTTGGCTTCAAACACTTACCTGGTTGGGCATGCTGTGACCCTGGCTGATATTATCATGACATGCAATTTGTATTTGGGATTCACTCGGCTCATGACTACGAGCTTTACCTCTGAGTTCCCTCATGTTGAGAGATACTTCTGGACCATGGTTAATCAAGCAAATTTCAGCAAGATATTGGGTGAGGTTAAACAGACGGAAAAAGTTCCACCTGTTCAGTCTACAAAGCAGCCTTCCCCACCAAAAGAAGCTGCAAAACCAAAGCCTAAGGATGAGCCAAAGAAAGAAGCGAAGAAGGAACCAGCAAAGCCCAAAGAAGAAGCTGGTGAGGAAGAGGAGGAGGCACCAGCCCCAACCTGCACTCTCATCTTCTCTCCTTCTCGGCTGAAAAAACTACACAAATATACACACACACACAAGCACAAAAGCACACTACTCTCTCTCTCTCTCTACCTCACTTCCCGTGGTCTCCCACATGCACTTTATGATCAAAAACCTTTTTTTTGTTTTTTCTTAATCAACCCATTCCCTCTCTCTCAGGTTACTTTTTCTCTCCACCAGACCCACTTTAATCATATCTACCACCATTCTTTTCTTTATCACACCTATCTTTATCTCTTTTCTATAACTCTCACCCACGCCTATGCTTTCTACCTTAATATATTTTTATTTAAAATTATTATTATTATTATTATTATTATTATAAAAAATAAAAAAATAAAAAAAAAACAAAAAAAAAAATCTAGGGGGAAAAGAGAAAAAGAAAGAAAAAAAAAAAGGGGGCTTCTAAATCTGAAATGTATTGCTTCATAGCAACAGTGAATGTGAGTGTTTCAACTTTGTGCTGAAGCTCAACCTAGTGCATAGCTTCATAAGAAAACACATTTTTCAGAAACTGAAAAAAAAAAAACAAAAACAGAAGAGTGGGATATCTCAGTAAATCAATCAAAAGGTTCAATAATTTACAATACAAAATGGAAAATTGTACTACTGAAAAGAAAAAGAAAAAGAAAAAGAAAACAAAAACTAGTACAAAAACCAAAATAAAGTGACATAATTCATAAAATTAAGACTAAAAGTTAAACAAAACCCACACCATTCCAGATAAAAAATACCAAATCATTTAAACCCAAATAAATAAATAAGTAATTAAAAGCAAGGGTTAATTTCCTTTTTTATGGCCTAAAATATTGTCAATTATTTATATTTCATCATTAAATTATCAATTTCATCTATTTAGTCTATAGAGTTTCTAATTTCAGTTCATGATTCAAATGGAGACAACGCTTTCAACTAATAAGTAATGCTGAAAACCTAACCAAATTGGCAAAAAATGTATTACAATTGGAATGATCTGAATTATAAAACCAAACAACTATTTCTTACTCAAACTATATTATTGGATAACTTATATCTTACAAGAGACACCCATGTTCTTTTCTATTCCTTATTTCAATTTAGTGAGTTTTAAGTTATTCAAATTTTGAAATGACCATTCTGCCCATCGAATTAGGCCTCGACAATTTGACGGTTTCAATTGGACCGCATTAACAGAAATTAAAAACTTTTAGGGATTAAATAGATGAAATTGAAAATTAATGACAATTGTTTAGGTAATAAAGTGAAATTAAGAAAGGGAAAAAAAAAATGGCACCATTGGTTGTACCAGAGAATATCATCAACGATTATATACCTATTTGGGTAGTAGCTTTGAGTGACCACAACCATTTCATTAGTACAGAGGCATCATTTGAGAGAAACCCACTAACAACCTCTGCAAGACAGATCATACATATACATAGCCGCAAATTAGGGACACATTGAAGCTCAAAAATCAAAACAGATCAAATTACATATACATATACATATATATATATATATGTGTGTGTGTGTGTGTGTGTGTACTCACTTGCAGGAGAGGTGGCGTGTATATAACAGTAGATTGAACTAAAATTAAAATCATAACCACAACTCTGATCCACATGAGCATAAATTTCATGATCAAGGTTGTTGATCTATAAACAAAAATCCAAAAACATGTACAGGGGCAATTGCATGCCAAAAGAAAATTTGATCACCAACTCCAAATTAAAATTGGAATTATGCCCAAATCAAGATTTACATGGGTGATCCATATTCAAAACACTAATTAAAAAACTCTAGTATATATCAAGATAAATTCCATCAAAAAATATTCTCAAACATGCAAAACATCAAACATAAAGAATCCACACTATAAAAACACAGATAACAGTGCAAAAAATCCAAAACCGAAATCAATGAAATTAAGAGATACAACTAATTAGTCTCTCATTCCAATTTTCATATATGTCTCTCAAGAAATAGACTTATATTTCATAAAATAGAGCACAAAATTGGGAATCTGCATTCATCCATTGTGTAATTGGCAAACCATAATGCTAGCGAATACAAATCTATTTATTTCTACTCCAATAATTAATAGCATACAATATGAAAAATGATGAAGCATTAACTTCGAAAATCAGAACTAAACAGACAAGAACAAAAATTAAATTCAGACAAGAAAAATGAAATATACGTGAGTTGTCGATTCTTTTCATTCGCAGCTCCGGCGATGATTCGAAAATCAGCACTGAACAGAGAAGGACCAAAAAAATTTGAATGATGTAAAACTAAAATGGCTTCAAAGCATCGTCCAAAAACTATCAGAAAACACATACCTGTGCAGTCGGCGAGAGGGAAATAAGGGAGAGGGAGAGGGAGAGAGAGAGAGAGAAGAGGAAGAAGAAAGAAGACATACCTGTGCCGTTCGAGGTCTCGAGAGTGAGAGAATGAGAGGATGGAGCTTCAAGTGATGCGTGGGTGAACTATTTTTGGGCAATAAAAAATTAGGACTTCATTCAAAATTCAAAACAATGTAGTGTATATATAGGCACTATACATATAATCACACGTTAATTGGGAGGTGTGATTAAAAAAAAAAGATATAATCATATTTAATTAAAAAATGATATAAAAAATAAATACCTAAAAAACGTCGCCAAAAATACTTTTTGTTGTAGTGATTGTTATTATTTCACATTTCTTGCTATATTATTACTGCAAATAGATGTTTTGATGGAACTATTAACCAAATAGTAATGTTATGAAAAGTATAATTATGTACATATCCTTTCTTGTGTCACTCTATATTGATATTTTTTCTTTCTTTCTAGCCACTCTATATTGATTTAAAGAGTCCTATTACTGATGTTTGGGCTACTAAAAAAGGTGCGTGCTTGAAAAAAAGTGTATTATCTTTATATGTTGGCCGAATTGAGTGGAGTGGGTTTTTGATTCCTAGCCTGACACTCAATCAATTTCACCAACTAAATAACTTCAGCCTGCTGCTAATCGAAATGGTTACGAAATGACCAATGTGCAAAAACCAAAATCCAAATTTGTTTGGTTATTTAGTTTTAAAATTCGACTTTGAGTTTTTATTTAGTAATTGTTTTTTGGTGAATTTTTTTAGTACTTCGTTAATTTTTTTTTTTTAATAAACTTTTTCAAATGCTGAATACACACATATATGTTAGAAAAATATACAAAAAGCCATGCTTTTGTTTAATGGGACTTAGTATTTTGTTTTAATAATATCAGTTATTCCAGTTTTAATGAGAATCATTATGAATAATATTTGTATTATATTAAGTTTATACTTGAACTATTCGATTTTGGCCTCGTTTGGAAAATTGACTTTTTTAGTACGTTATTTTAATTTTTGGCGATTTTAGTAAGCTAAAATTTTTGTGTTTGGGAATATAATTGAATATTTTTATAGTTTAATGTGATATTTAGGAGAGAAAAAGTGAAATAAATATGGATTTGATGTAACATTTTGTCTTATTAGCTATTTTATTCTATTTTGTCCATTGTGAATTTTAGCCAAAAAAATAGCCCAAAACCCACTTGCCAAACAAATTAAACAAAAGTTGTTGACATGACACTTAAATTTCATTAATTTTATACTTGAACTATTTGATTTTATATCAATTGTCTTTTATAATTAAACAGAAGTTGTTGATACTTAAATTTCATTTTATCCCCAAATTAAGGTGTTCAAAAAAATTGGGGGAATCGATTAATTGATTGATTCTAGTTAAAATTGTCGGTTTGGTCTGATTTTTATTAATTTTGATTTTGATTCTAATTATGAAAATAGTGGAAGGTTCCATGACTTTGGTTACAATTTCATTTTGCCTTTCAAACTATCGATTAAAAATTAATTCAAACCCAGGGGTGGGTGGCCTTGTGGTAAGAACATGGGGATTAAGCCCCCAGGTCATGAGTTCAAATCCCCCCTAGGCCAATCTCCTGGGCGTAGCACAGTTGGTCAGGAGGTTGGACCTCAAATTGTCTAACCAGCATTTGGTGTGGGTTCAATACTCCCCCGCTGTGCGAGTCTTGACTTAAGCGGAGCTTGTCTTGGGAGGTCGGGACAAGTTCCCAGGTTATAGTCTCCTCGCTCAGAACGGCTAACAGGACACCTTGGTGATCTCTATAAAGGGGCGTTGCCTTGGACCTGTGGGAGAGTAGGGAGGATTTTCCTGAAACAAAAAAAACCAAAAAAAAAAATAAAATAATTCAATCATTATTTTTTTAATAATATCAATTTTATATTTAAATTATTCATTTTTGTATCAATTTTATCCATACTATCAATTGTTGTTTATAAGAAAAAAGAAATAGTTGATGTGAGCCCCAAATTTCATTTGAAATTTTTTTTATCCTCTAAATTATTCTCAAAATATCAATTAAATCCCTAAATAAAATGAAATTTTGGGATTTAATTAATATTTTAGAGATAGTTTGGAGTAGGGATGGATAAACATCAAGTTGGGCCAGATTCAAGTCGGTCCAGCACTATATAATAAGAGTATATATGTCATCTAAATCCTAGTCCAACCCGACATCAAGTCTAACCTAGTCATTTCAAATTTGGTCCAACTGAATTATTTAAACCCTTTTAATAATTATCTGAATTCAAAATATTAATAAAATTCAATAATAAAATAAATAATATTTTAAAAAGTCCTTTAATTTAAGTTATAGAAAGAAATATATACGTATTTTTCTTTCTTTATATATTTTTTGGTTAACTAATAATATAAAAGTTAAAACTAATATTTTTTAAATAGGTGCGATGGAGTGGGTTAAAACTCTTTATTTCAAATCTAGTTTGAAAATTAAATGGTCTCAAAAATTTTGTTTAACTTAACCCTATAGACTAAATATTTTTCTCACACTCAAAAAATATTGTGTTGGACTAGGCGGGTTGGTAAAGCCATTGAGCCGATGATTACCCCTAGTTTGGAAGTGTACGGGCAAAGAAAAATCATGTACTTGTTGATAAAGAAATCCAACGAAGAAGACGAATAGCACCACCACACAATCACTATCTGCGAGACGAAACACCCCCAGTCGTAGCCAGGGGTCCTCCGACGCCCAAGTCAGTCCTCCAATATTATCAAAATATTTAATAGAGTAATTCATAGAGAGAAATTGCGTCCCTCAACCCATAAGGGTGTTGCCTATTTATAATATCTAATAACTTACCTCTCAAGTAATTTGAATGCACCAGAAGTCCTATCCCAAACAATCTCCAGTTGTTCAGGACTTCTATATCAATAAGATTTCATATCCTGATGAGTTTTGCATAACATAAAACACTAATGCAGTGTTTGATAAGAATTTGATAACTGTCATATACATGATAATCCATAACCATGCCACGTGGCAATGCCTGGACCCACATAATTCTTGTGGTTATTTTTATTCCCTCTCAATTGCCCCCAAGCTTTCAGTCTCTTTGAACCCAGTGAAAGAGTGGAAGCTTTCTGTTGTTATAATAAAAATAGCCATGTAATAATGCCTAGCTAAAACCATACATAGGTGCTACGGCTTATTCCAAAATGCATAACTTTATTAGGACTTATTTAAAAAATGCCTAGCCTTGCTGAAACTTATTCCAAGAATGCCTAACCCCGTTAGGACCTATTCCGAAAATGCCTAGCTTTGCTAGGACTTATTCCAAGAATGCCTAACCTAGTTAGGACTTATTCCAAAAATGCCTCATTAGGACTTATTCCAAGAATACCTAACCTCATTAGGACTTATTCCGAATATACCTAGCCTTGCTAGGACTTATTCCAAGAATGCCTAACCTAGTTAGGACTTATTCCAAGAATGCCTAATCTTGTTAGGAACCACCAAAACACCAACTTGCTTATTGGCAAGCAAAACCTGCTCGGCAAGGAATCTCACTGTTGGACAAACCACCAACCTGCTCTACAAAAATTTTCAAAGTTGGTCGAACCTGCCAACCCACTTTGCCAAGCAAAACCCACTCGACAAAGATTTTTCAAGTTGGTTAAACCTGTCAACCTACTTTGCCGAGCAAAACCCGCTCTACAAAGATTTTCAAAGTTGGCCAAACTTGCCAATCTACTTCGCCAAGCAAAACCCGCTCGACAAAGATTTTTTAAGTTGGTCAAACCTGCCAACCTACTTTGCTGAGCAAAACCCGCTCTACAAAGATTTTCAAAATTGGTTAAACCTGCCAATCTACATCACCAAGCAAAACCCGCTCGATAAAGATTTTTCAAGTTTGATCAAACCTGCCAACCTACTTCGCCAAGCAAAACCTGCTCAACAAAGATTTTCAAAATTGGTTAAACCTGCCAATCTACTTCACCAAGCAAAACTCGCTCGATAAAGATTTTTTAAAATTGGTCAAACCTGCCAATCTACTTCACCAAGCAAAACCCGCTCGATAAATATTTTTCTAAATTGATCAAACCTACCAACTTATCTCTTGCCCAAACCAACTTGGCAAAGAGATGAAATTTGTAACCAAAAGGTAGTGTAATTCATATTGCCCCCATGATCCATAAAACGCGAACTCCATCTCAGCATATTTAACCCCAAATAATAGTCTTTATTCATGTTTGGTATAAAAACTCATATTTTCAGATAAAAATCTGATATAATAATTTGACCTTCCATGTATTCGTGGTCGGAATAATAATGGATAAACACCGTGCTCTATAGATGATCAAAATTTAGCACAATAAAATATCTTCATCCGCAGAGTAATAATGCATAAAATCCATATTCCGTAAATAATAAAAATTCAACATAATATCTTGGCTAGGAAGCTACTATCTTTTTGCCATGACTTATACTTTGATTTATGTAACCATATCGCAACTCATCTATTTCTTTTTCCTCCGTTGAGTTGTGTCAATCCTCTTATGTGTACGATTAACTTTACACCGAGCCTAGAAGCAACTCCGGAAAACAAAAACGAGTGTATACAAACAAAATCTTGAAACTGGTTACATGTGACTTTGCTAAAGTTGCTTTTCGTCATATCCGCATACACACATTACACTTATATATATATTGAAATAGCAAATCTTTGATAGAGCCTTATGAATGATGACCATTATAAAAGCAGTGGCTTAAATCCATGTAGATTTGAAAGCATATTTTATACAAGAACATTGTATTTGTTTTTGTTGTTGATAAACTCCAACGTAAAAGTATGTACTCGGTAAAAAACAACCAACATCATGAACAAAGCCCTCCAAGAAAGTTTACCATGGTTTATTAATTATCTTTGTTGAATTTCATCGTTTCCCACAGACGGCGCCAATTGTACGGACAGAAAAAAATACCGTATTTGATGATAAAGAAATCTAACGAAGAAGACGAATAGCACCACCAGATGATCACTATCTGCAAGACAAAACACCCCCAGCTGTAGCCGGGGGTCCTCCGACGCCCAAGTCAGTCCTCCAATATTATCAAAA